CTTTCTCTTCATTCGGATGCCTTTGTAGGGGCTTCTCTGGTTGCTGTTGCTCTTGCCGGAGTGGGATTGAATCGTCATGGATCGCCTCCGCCTTCGACTGTTCAAGCCGATTCTGGATGTGCTGCATGATTTTGTATTGTCGTGCCTTCTGGTGGTGTAGCGTTTGGAGAGTGGAATGAAGAGCATTTATAACGGCAGCACCCTTAATCTCTCTTTCTTCCCCCACTGCTTCACCTGTTGCAAGAAAAACCAAGAGTGTTAACAACGGTAATGCTATGATACATTGGACAATTCCATGCCAAAAAAAAATCCGGAGCGATTGCTTGACAGGCACGGAATGTTTGAAATTCGGTTCATTTTGTGTATTCTGGTAAAATAGGCATGATTAAATTTGTTAACGTAATCGAGCCAACAATTTTTTTTAGATATGGGAGAGGAAGAAATTGTGGAAGCCATATTTACTGGCTTAACATATTACCTGGTGTATTACCTTTTGTCGGATTAACCCCTTCAACAGCTCATAAGAAAACCGTTGGGGAGAGGGTTCAGAATATGCTTTTACTTTCTAAAACTACAGTAAATAATTGAAATATTACTGATGCACATTTGACAACGAACAAAATTTAGGTTGCATGAGGAGATCTGCCCAAAATGTTTACTTTTTGTCACATTTTGTATGTGAAAAACTTTTTAAATACTGATTATAACTCACAAACCTAGTGCCATTTCAAAATCTCCTGTTCAAGGCCTTTCTTCAGAGTTATGGATGGGCGAAGTAACCAACGGCGAGAAGTTACCAACCATGGGGCCTTCCCTAAATTCCCCCTTTCCTTAAAATTGTTGGATGCCCTTCTCGAACTGCTAGAATTGCGCTGGAAATATTCTTTACAAGGCCTACTCTCCCGAAAGAGAAGAAATTTCATATATTTACCAAATTTCAAGTAAATCCTGTTACTAAAGAAACAAGTCCCAGTTATTTGGTTGCGCCGATATTATAGAGGGAAATGTGTGGGTCAGCTTACATTATACTCACTTAAATTGCTTGTGAAATCCTTAACCTTGATGACATTGAAGTAACATGTTGTTTATAGTTGGTAATATGCACTCAGATTAAGAATCAGGCATTGGAATGAAGACGGCGAGAATAGAGAAGAAGTGGAATGTTCGTTTCATTTGTGACCGCTAGATGTCCTCCACTGTCCGCATTCCTCCACTCACTTCCATGACCCGTTCGTGTTATGCCGCATGTTCCGTAACAGTCATGCCAAAACGATCAGAGATAAAAGCATTTTCGATTGCCAAAAATTGCAGAATCAGCCATAAGGAAAATGTCTACGGGAAGAGGCATCACAAACGCGGCTAGAGCATAAAGACGATTTGTAGAGGCCTACTCTACACACGTCCGTTAAGGGAAGCTGACCTGGTCGCTCCTTTTCTCCTCTTTTTGTGCGATTTTGGGAGGACCCGCCTCTAAAGGAAACAGGGGTTCGAGACAATTGAGAAATTTATGGGTAAGTTTGTCGCCCGAGGTGAATGACTCGCACAACACTGACCGCGTCTCACAGAGGAGAAAACACGGCACACAAGTCGGGCGTTGGGAAGGGTTGTTTAGATGCCCGACGTGTGCTTTCATGACACCTATCCCATTGATATAGGATTTAAGAAAGCTAGGGGCCCACATTTCAGTCGATAATCATCAACTGCATCCGACGTTTCGGAAAGGAAAGAATTTGATTGCAGGTGGGACCCAACAAAAGTGCAGGCGAGGCATGGCTAATGGAAATATTACGTATTTTAATGGGCATGCAGGGAGGGGATGGTAATGATGACGCGGGGGAGAGGAGGAGGATGAGAGGAGGGCGAGAGGAGGGCCGGATTGGAAATGAACCTCTGCGCGTTCCCCTTGACCCGAAGAAGAAAATTCATAAGCAAAGGTGAGAAAGGCCACAATTGGCGGAAAGAAAGGCAGAGCGCCAATCAGATAACAGCCAGACTCCTTTTTCTTTTTTTTCCCATCTCACCTAGGGTGAAATATCATGTTTCTCTCTCTACTCTCCTCCATCTCACCAGCCGACTAATAGCGAGGAAATAACTCGCTTCCCATTATTTTACTTGTTCCCTTCAGCCCTGGTTCTTCGCCCAAATGACGTCAGCCTTCCCCGGGTTCGATTCTTCGATCCCCTCAACCTTCCCTGAACACGGAAAAGTTTGTTCGTTCAACCGTATGCGAATGCGAAATCGACATGGAGCCTACAACCTTGATGGCACAAACCAACTTTATTTCTCACCGCCCCATTTCATTTTTCACGTGATGAAAATTAAGCTAAATTTCACATTTGCGTCGCACACGATGGGGTAGTAGTGGTAGAAGATTCGTATGCAGTATGATTTCATTTTAAGGACTCGATTTGATCGCCGTGGCAATCGGA